AATAACAGAGAACGTGTCTTCAAGGCTGGCTTTATTTTTAGCAAACCGGAAATATAGCGTACGCCACCGAGTCTTGTATACGTTACACCTCGTTATGTCGCTCTACCTGTTCCCTAAGATTGCTAGCAAATGAAGTTACACCGTGTTCCAACGTCTTCTTAAAATGCCGATGAGATTTAATAATATTCAACGAGCTTTTGTGCTTTTGAGCTTTTGGAGCAAAGTTGATGCGATAATGTTCTTTACATTAAGATGGTCACTTAAAAATAACTCGAATTCACGTCACGGTTAAGCTTCGCAATTTTCCAGGAAAAGGTGGTTTTTTCATAAAACGCGTATATCGATAGGACGTGTGTAATAAATTTAACGATTATGCGAAATTGAACGATGCACGAACTTGCTGTGCCGGATAATTACGTGGGATTTTACGCTGATGAAGGTACGCTAACCCTTTTACAGAAGACTTTAGAAAAATCAGGTTTATATTATGTTATAACGTAGCTTCTTGTAACAATAAATACCATACGAAGATCACACAGAAGGACCATGATAAGCACGTTTTCCTCGACTTTTTCATCTTAATGTCGTTTTATAACTAAAAACGAACGATTTAATACAACATAGATGAAAATTGAAAGACGTCCTGGAATTAATTAAAGCGATAAGAAAAACAATATTTCAATATTTTTGATATTCTAATATTACAGCAAGTAGCGTCTTTGAGATTATAAAGATGTATGGAACAACATGTACTTGGTCTCGAGATCAAATTGAAAAGACAATTTTAGTAACGCGAGATTAGTTGAAAACGTACGTACCGAGTTTTAAAACCACAGTTCTAAAAACCGATAAAAAGTTAACTTAATACGTTGCTCATCTACGATCTTCACGTAAAAGCATGACTTTGGTCTAATAATTCTCAGAACAGTTTAATTATTATTCGACGATAAATATCGAATACTTCAACACTATCAAGTTTTTCGGCCTTTCATGTCTCGAATCATCTTGTTCAAGTTTTAAACGAAAAAAAACCTGTACCTAATATTTTAGGAAATATTTTAACATACAATTGAAAAACACATCTATGTCGAAAATGATCGAAAGAACGTACGCAGATATAAAAGACTATTTATATAAAAATTGATTATCGTATATTGTATTGCATCACAATGTGTAATAACATTAATAGACAGGACATATTTATTTCCGAGTGATTATTTTACAATAGGTGGAACAAGAAGCGAGAAAAAGTGTCTAATCTTGTCTATCATCCTGTGCGTATTTTCGCTTTCTGTATTTTGACCAAGCGTTGGATTATGAAAAATGAAACGCGTTTGGACACACTTGCTGAATGCATTCGAGGGCTCGTTATTGTCGGCAGAAGGCAACAAACAGATCGTAAACCTCACAATTGAATGAGAACGTTACGAAACTCGATGCAGAAAATTGCAATACGAATTGATATTAGACACGTTGCAGCTGAACAGTGTTTGTCTGTTGGGATTCCAATAGGACATTCATCAATCGGACATTAAAAACTTGAGGAATGAGTAAAAAAATTAATTTTAGCATTTGGAAGCAATGTCTAGTTAATATTATAGAATTTGGAATTTTTCCAGTAGTATGATTAATGTCAAGACATTTTTTAATTCAATCGATTATCTTCTATTATCTCGTACAATTTGGAGTAAGAGATAAAATGAAATTTTTTAGTAATCAATATCAACCTTGTCGACAAATAAGAGTCTTGATCGGTGCCATTAACAAAATATTAATATCAATTGCTGCTGTTAAATGTTGTTTTGTGTTCGAGGGGTGCTCCAAAAATGTGAAATAAATTAAGAAAGAATTAAATTGTTTTCATAATCGGGACATTGTTAAGTGCTTCGATGTTATTTATAATGAAATCGGTAAACGTTTTCACAGCGATAATACAGACAACTAACGTTTCCAAAATTCGAAACAGTATCTTATTGTCCTAAATTTTATTTTCGTCAGTACCAAATCATCATATTCCAGTGATGTTCTTAAAAAATATTTATAAGAAAGGACTGGAGTTGTTGGATAAACTTACGTTTTCGTCGTTTCTTTCGATTATTCTGTTTCTAATTTTCTAGAATAATTGTATCGTTATAGAATAATGTCTTCCACTTTATCAAATTTAAATTCACTAAGTTAATAAAATAAAAACATCATATGGATCAACGCAATTAATAAATATATCTATATGTAATTATTAATCAAGTCCTTTTATCTACGTAAATCTTTCTAATCTTTTTTGTAATGCATACGTTCTTACACGTCAAGTTTAGCTACTCTTAGCGTATAACACTAAACATTCTCCAACGTTCTACACGATTCTTCGGCAATTTACAAATTTCAACGATAATGGAATTATACTATTCCGCCAAAGCAACGTGTCCTTATTATAAAATTACATTTCCCGATCAGCTTCATATAATACTACGTTTAATGGAATATCGATGCGGTTCGATACATGTTGTAAAAGGTTTTGCAACTCGTATCTGCTATTAATATTAGTGGAAACCAAAGGGTTCGTAAATAACATGTTAAGAGTCAATAAATCGATATTCATGTCAGAAATAACAGTAAAGTAAAAGCAACGGTAAATTTAATAATGTCACGGTTCTTACTGATGAAATTTTGAATTATGAAGTATCTGTTGACGCAAGTTCGATACAAATCACTGAATAAATGTATTTCTGTATCGCAAAAATAATAGAAGAAACAAAAAAGAGAAAAAATAAGAAAAATAAAAGGACGGAAGGAGAGGGAATTAAATTATCATTACCGTTATGTTAATTGAAGAATTTACCGTTGGTTAATATTCACCAGTTTCAGTATCTTATCACTTCTCATATCCAATACTTTAATTTCCTCTATATCTTTTTTATTTTGCATTTTATTTTTAAAATATAATCGATGTAACTTTATATAATATTCTCCTCTCCAGATATTTCATCTTCAAGATTTACATGTTTTATAAAACATCGCCGAAACTAGTTAAGATCTTATTAATTAATTCGCTATCGTTCGTATCTGGTGCCTCATTAATTTTGTTCACCGATGTTCCATTGCTCGATATAATATTTGCGCGTTTAGTCCGCGTTGGGTTTTAAAGTGTCGCAAAATTTCACACTCTGATTTAAGGGTTCAAAATGAGTGAAATTGATTTCTTCGCGATGCAGTTGAATTAATAAACGCCATATAACCCCCCTTTAACGATTTCCTTTATTCAATCTGTTTATTACAATATTTTGTTTATCGTCTCGTGAGGCAACAAATATTCATGTTTCGTAATTTGTTTGCGATTCGTGCAATAAAATATGATTCCTATTTTAAAAACAATTACTGTAAACATTTCCTCTAAACATATAACAAGTATTCTATTACATGCAATAACAAAATATTGATGATATCGCGTCTTTTATCGGGTACATTATATTTTTAACTGTAGCAATGAACAGTTTTGATGAGATCTAAACGCATTACACTATTTCTGAGAATGAAGTGATCTCATTAATTTACTTACTCGGGTATCCAATATTTATTATTATCAATGTTTCCGTTTTAATATTTGAAAATTTGTCTCCACGAAATTATATAATGGATATCAACCTCGTGTGGGCGATGGCGATGAGCCAGACTTAGGTTTCACCAATAGGTCAAACTCATCCGGTCCGAATTTTGCTACTCGTTATTTTATGCTCTAATTTTAAATGACGATCAAACTTCATAATATCATTTTCATAATTTTAGATATAATTATGTTACGATTGTTACGCCATTCGTAATATTATGAAATTCTAATCGACAATTTGAAACGTTGACTTCTAGTATTTGAACTTGCTTTCTTTACAGATGTATTATAGTATACATGATATTATGTGCCCGTAATGCAAAAAGCATTGCCATTATTGGTTTTAGATAATTAGTGTTTCAATCAAGAAGGAATTACAGGTGATTCTTTGTAGTTTTACATAACAGCTAGAAATATCCTATTTCCAACGGTACGTAATAAAACTATATTTGAAACAATGGGCATACATCGAAGCAGGAATTGAACGGTATTTGCTCAAAATGTATCAAGGCATTGGCAATCGCCCAATGATTTAAATTCTAGTAAACTATAATTATTTGTTTTACATTAGCTATTGTAAATTGATGACGTTTATTTTGTCTAACTAACGTGCGTATTTTAAGCTTTCGAAGTATCACCAAAATGTCATAGTTTCTTTTTAAAATCTTGTTCTTTCTTCTTGTTCGTGTCTTACTTTTTTTTTAAATCTGCTTTTGGTATGGTAATGTCTTCTGGCAAATTCACAAATAACTTCCGTTAACTTCAGAAGCGAAGTAAATTCGTCTCTGACAGATAAACAATCTTTTTCTCCGTCATCTATAAAGTTTGATTTAACGTTCTTGGTTTATAATATGATTCGATAAAAATTGAAAGAGAACTTGTCTCAAAATTTAAATTGTAGAAACTTCGACACGCGATTGAGAAGCATTAGATCATCCCCTAAATAGTTCGTTCTTTTTTCGTATATTACGCGAGGAATCAGAAATTATCCATTGTTAAATAATCAGTGACATATTTTTCGCACGTTTGTTCTAATTAACTTTTCCATTGCCCTTTTGCAAAAATTCTCGTCATGAAAATGTTCTCACTCTTTTCGCCGCAACTATCGGTAACGTCTCGTTATCCGTGAAACGAAATTACGCAACATTTAGAAAAGAATTTCTCCAATTCTCCAACGATGCAACCAATCATTACTTTTCAAATTCTCCAACGATGACATCAATTTTTATTTTAAAAACGTAGTACGTTTTCACAAGCATTTACCATTTAGTCTATTCTCTTCAGTTCTGTACATGTAAGAAAGAAAGAAGGAAGATGGTGCCGTGGTTTGTTTCCAGCCTGCCTCAGATTATATTAAATTACACGGTGAAATCTCCATTTCTCCCGTTTCTTGTTACAGTTTGCAACTTCGTGGTGCACGACCGCTGTCTCAAGGCCGTCGTCTCCCCCTGCTCCACTATCGCGGCAGGTCTCATTAAGGTAAGAATACCCTCGGTTTCTGTTTTTGCCCCTTTTGTGTGACCGGAGATGAGTGAATTCTTCCCCCGCGACCTATATTTACGCACTGCTGAGAATACTTGGTTGCATAGTATCATGGTTGCGTCGAAAGTTCCGTTCGCAGCGAGGTGAACTTCGTGAACACCGAGTTCTGCGTTAACAGTTGCGCCAATATGTTTAAAGATCACAGGGAGGAGAACTTGTCAGGTACATTTTTGTCGATTTTTTTTTTATTTTAGCGTCACTTTATAACTACAAGGCAATAGGTACTTCGATATTTCCTCTCTATATATTTATTTGTAATAGTGTTATTAATACTAAATTAATTGTCTTTTTGATACGTTACGTTCGCTTATTCCGGTTGATAGAAACATCAGTTTTATTTATTTAATGCGCACGCCTTTTGCGCGATAAGTGAAGATAAACGAAATAATGGCGAAACTTGATATCGTAATAAGTTACATCTAATCAATTTGATGTATTTTAATGATACTGTTATAAAGAAATATATATATATATACAGGGAATGATCTCTGGAACACCGCGGTGTTCGAACACTAACGAGAGTCACTGTAGTTGAAAAAGGAAGGAACTTGTTAGATTCAAGGATGTAAGTCTTCTAAAACTAATAGCACATAGGTTTGAGAAAATTTGGTAAAAAGGCAAAGATCGAAGTATCAAGAAATCATTTTTTATTATAAACATTGTTATTAACGCTATTAAAAATTAGGAACATTTATTTACGTTAGCCTGAAAACCAAATGAAAACTACAGGGGAAGGACACACGTCAAATTTTGGTACCTTTCATAAATTCAGGATTTTGTTAATCAATCTCACAATTGTCTTTTTATTTGGTTTCGCAGCTAAACGTATGTGTCCTTTTATCCTCTTTAAAATCTTAAAAATATTGTTTATCCTAATAATTATACATTAGTTTTTAATAATACACTAATAATTGTACATAGTTTTGATTTCTATAAGACTGCGTCAACCTACCAGCTATTTTTGAAAGACTTCCATCGTTGGACCAAACAGATTATTTTTTTTAATTTGTGATATTAAAATCCTCCTGTTTAATCATAAAGTGATATAGAAATCAGAAAGTCAATAGGAACGTTCTTCTCAAGCTTTCCTCGTTTAATTTCCAAATAGGAATACAATTCGAATAACGTGCAATTGATTGACGATACAGCGACTAAGCGAATATTAAAAACGCTTTCATCTAAAAAATAGAAAATGTAATTTCTCGCGTTCTTCCCCTGTACTCTTCATTTTAAATAGATTCATCTTGTAATCTTTCAACTTGCCTCGTTCCTCTACCCTTTACTGTTCCCTTCTCTTCCTTTATAAAATAGTCGTCGTGAGTAAAAACGTTAAGACTCGTGTTAAATGGTCAATTATTTTTACGGTGGTTATTTTTAAACGGAGTAAAAGTTGCGAACAAATGGGGCGATTTTTGTTCGCCTTTAACGCGCAGTTTCCAAGGTGAATAAAACATAGCGAGGTTAAGACGCGCTTTACGAGGCTAACAAAATGAGAAACGAGAGGTTTTTTCATTTGTTGCAGAACCCGGTTGCACACTGCTGGTCTGAACAGGTACATCGTAGAAGAAAATTCTGCAACGTCTGTCGTAAACGGCTCGATGATAATCCATCCATACATTGCGAAAGTAAGCTCATTTTCTACATCTTGCCTTCTTTGTTAATATAAGATTATTTCTTACTGTTTAAATTATGTACATAAAACACAACGTCAAAATGTCAAAAATGTGGAATCACGTTTCGATATGTATTCAATTTTCTGTTGTATTGTACGTTGATTTAGGAGTCAACATCCTGGACGTTAACGATAATCGATTTTACTTTAATAGCTGTTTTTAGTAAAAAAATTTCTTAATATTACGCAATGTTAAGTTGACTTTTTTGTTGTAAATTTCTTGGATATATGGAACACGTAGTAATTCCAAGCTATTGGCCAATAGTCGATAGTCAGTGTGCTTGTGTTCTATTGATTTATTATGAATAAAGAAGAAGCTAGGACTGCAAACTTTTTCACAGAATCTAACCGACTTTCGTCGCACGTTTGCTATAAAAAATGACACAATTTAAGAAACATGTACTTTGCTTCATGACTATAAGAAAATTTGTTAAAATTCTTTAGGATTATAGACTGGGTGTTACAAAAACTTGAACCTGCCTCATTAGCATTATTCTTCTTGCAGATAAAATTGATTGACGACATAAAGTATAGTTATGTTCTAATATAATATCTTGTATTTTTTGGAGAAGAATCTGACGCTGTTGGACCGTGTCACTTTTAAAAGTAAAGCTATGATCGTAAAATATACTCACAGAGTTTCCTACATACACCTACGCAGAGAATTTACATTTGAATCTTTTTTTAAAAATATCGCAAATCATTTTATCAATTTTTTGTAGTCAGTTTTTGTTAAAACGTTGCATCAAATCTGCGATCTATCAGAACATCATAATTGTTACCTTTTTTGCATAAATATTGACTCGCATATAGATAAGTGATTATTTCGTACTTTTTTCTTACTCTTTTACTTTTAAAGAACAAAATAGAAGGGAGCTGCGTGGGAGAATTTTCTTTTTATGAGTGCTTAACGAAAGTAGAGATATCACCACCATTTTTACACTTTGAATCTATCGATGCCAGTGTTATCCTGGCTTCTAACCTTTTCCACGACGATTTATTCACAACGAATACGTGCTTACACATTTCATTTCATTTTTTCTCCGCGTACGTACCATAACGATCTAGAGCAGATGATGTATTTTAGGTTTTACACAATATATCTCAATGAAATGAAATTTTTCTGGTACGCGCAGTAACGCAATAATGTAACGTTACAGAGTAGGAGAATATAAATCCCCTAAGGTGTCTATTTTCGTCTCATTAAATCGTAAAAGCTTATTTAACCATAAAAATAAAAAGTAACTTGGTGAAGTTGCGTCAGACGAGTACACGAAGCAAGGTAAAGCTGTCTACTGTACTTTTTACAGTGAGAGTATCGAACGCTTTGATGATTTTCTTACAATTTAAGAAAAGAAAAAAGAAGAATTATTTTTTCCTTAATTTGAATTTTCCTGAATTTTCCTTAATGAATAATTTTTTCATTATCTTTTATTATTTTTCGTTCCTACAACTTTTACAATCGAGCTTACTCTTTGTGTATTTCTTTCGATCGCATATTCCTTCTCAAGCTTCTACTAAACATTTCAATCAATTTATCATTTATTACCTTAGCAATATCACAGTTTTATATCTCTAGTACTGTATCATTTTTATTTACACGAAGCATATACACACACGACGTGTAGCATATTTGTTTCTGAACGTGTAAAATAACAATGAAAGTTTAGTGTCTTATCGTTAGTCGACTTGGCATAGAACGCGTTAACTTTACAGACAAATTTTATGCTATCTCGTTTTGATAAAAATAGCTTCTTTTTTATGACGATATCTTGGGCGACTATACTAATGCATCATAATTTACACGTCACACATTACACGTCATATCACACATGCTGTTGCTTAATATATTAAAATCAGTAATCCGTGATTTGTGACTTGTCGCTAATAATATTGGTGCAATATTATCAAAGAAAGTGTCTCGAGTGATTCAATAAAAAGAAACAAAACAACTTGATCTTAGAGAAAAGTCTAAATTTTGGAAAGTCCGCGATGTTTCAGCCGAGAGACAGTGATCGATGATACTTGTAATTTCAGTATGCGAGTACTTCGTACACACGGAGTGCCAGGACTTTGCCGTGGCAGATTGCAAGGAGAACGCCACGTATTTACCTGGGAAGGACTTGGCGCAGGTAAAACATACCCATCACTGGCGAGAAGGTAATCTTCCGAGCAGTTCGAAATGCGCTGTCTGCAAGAAAAACTGTGTTTCTGCCGAGTGCCTTTCCGGGTTTCGTTGCGAATGGTGCGGCATGACGGTAAATGTTCTTCCTCTTTTCTAAACTCCCCTTCATCGTTTTACACTTCTCCGTTGTAATCAATGGTGTGCGAAAATTTCACCGATAGAGTCTAAATAATTTGTTACGTTTGTAAACAAGTATTAAAATTTGATCTCTCGCAGCGTTAGAATTTCATTTTGTATTGTACCATATAAAATTATAGCATTTGTTCCTTTTCGAAGCAAGAGTTTAAAAAATGATAAAATTGCCTGGATAACGTCGAACAATGCTTAATTAAAAATAACATTGATCGTTGCCAAATCGAATTAACGAGTGCCCTTGTTAATACAGTGAGCGCCGAGTATTAATAAAAATATAGATTTGCATAACAAAAGCGTTATTTCTGTTCGCGTTGTGTTAAAAGGGACGATGGGTATTTTTGCATATGGAAACGTATAAAAGTAGTTTGCTTTTGTAATTTAGTATGGCACGAATATTATGAATTTATCATAGAATCGAATAGTTATGATTTATAAATTTATAAATAGAATTACTTAAGTCATTGTTCGAATTTGTACAGAATTTTCTTGCCGAGGTAATTTGAATCTTCGCGGAAATAATTATTTTGCTGTACAAATTACAGCAATTATTTAATCAAACAATTCCTTTCATTCTTTCCTACTCGCGCAGCTTCATTTATATTATAAATACGAAATTAACTTGCAGTTTCCTCGCTTTCTCTTCATATTCAACCCTCGTGCGTCTTTCATTTTCTCAACTTCAATTTGTCGCTTCGTTGTTACACCGACGATGACGCTGGACGATAAAATACCGATAATAACGGGGGAATCTTAGAGAATTGTAAAATATCAAAATATAATTTATTTCCGTCTTATCATTTCTATCATCTTTGAAGAAACTATGTCTTAGTATTTAACGCTGATTACCCTACATTTTTTAAAACGTAAGATCATCCTGTACTTTGAAACAATGGTCAATATATTCATAATAATAATAAATAAAAAATATAATAATCGTCTGGTTGCAGTTGCACTCTTACTGTTATAAAAATATCCCGCAAGAATGCACCTTTGGGAACTTGGAACCAATTTACTTACCACCACATGCAGTCAGCATTCCACGTACGGAAGTTCCCATGGAGGCCATCATTGGTGTACAAGTACGTCGAAAAGAAGTCCTGGCGCGTGAGTATTCTTGCCGTAAGTGTCTATTGTACAAATATACGTTTCGAATATCGATTAGAGAATGTGTAACACGTGAACGGTTGATGAACGGAAGTAGTGGAATGAAATTATGTTCACGTACGTGTACTGCTAATATGGCTATTATATAAATATGTATATCTTGTAATTGTCGATATTGTACCGATTTGTTCGAAATTTTATTTCAAACTATCGATCATGTGTATGTATACGAACGAAAAGGAAAAGGAAAAGGAGAGGAAACGAAGAATCATAAGGGAAAGAACTAGCTTAGAGAATAGCGTGTAGGATGTGTCTCTGTGTTTCCTTATAGACGATTACAGACGATTAAACGATTGCAGAATGTACGCATCTGTAAATGTTCCTATCTGCGCGAACTTAATATATTTATTTGCGTATTTAAATGAATTTATTTTATTTTATTTTTCTTCTATTTTTGCCGCGTACCTAGAAGAATTATTTAGAAGGTTTTATTATTAAATTCAGCCCGTGAGAATTTATTGCATTCTACATATTGATAATATTAGTATATTACACTCAGATAACAAATAATGGCTCAATTAGAGTGTTACGAATTTCATGGTCGATCAATCTTCACGATACATCGAGCACACGTTTTATCGAGTTCCTATAAAATGTCACAGTGTCAATACTTGATGCACCATTTAAGGAAAAAGAACACTGTCATGCAAAGATCACATTGTACTCATCGTTAGTACATAATAATTCCGATATTCATAGCAACGATACATTTTAACCAGATAGCCTACTACTACGTTTAGATAGAATAGCCACGTTCTACATGTTTCTTCGTGTGCAAAATAGAATTTTCTTTTCTCACACTGTCGTATTCGCTGTCTTTTGTATTTCGTTCGAACGGTAATTTATACGTATATATATACACGAGTTTTATATATAAGATATAGGTATACAAGATTATATATATACATATATACAAGGATTAAATGAAAGATAATGCCTACGATTTTATAATTTATCAATAATTGTCAGTATATATCGAATTTTATGTGTATATGTATACATTGTATTTGGTAGGGATATTAAGAAACAAATATTAAGACAATTAACAATTGTACGATAAAATTATGCAGTTATAGTTTGTATGTTTATTATTATAGTTTGAAATAGAGTAGATACATCGAGTATAGATTATTTCGAATGAAAAAATAGTCGCAGCTATTGAAATTCTTTTTTATTTTCTCTTTAAAGAAACGACTTTTATTGTCTCTTATTATACAAGTGCGTTCGTAGGTTTATATAATTTATATAATCCAATTTTAATTAGTCCTTTTCAAAAATATTTATGTGTATTGATGAGATAAATAAATAAGTAGTACCGGCATTTACTGGAAAATATTAACGGGACAGATTACGTAGGTTTTTCGCTCTTTCTTTACCCAACGTGTTACTTAATAATTAGATCACTCGTTTCAACAACATGATCAAACATAATCGATGTAACACGATCAAATATAAGAAATTGATCTTCGACATTTTATTCTATCCTTCACATGGCTCAGGATTGGTTCCATGCACATATTTTCTGACTGTGCTCGAAATACAAGGACGCAGTTTAAATTCGAAGAATTGTCCACGAAATTATTTAATTTTTTTTACCGTGACTTTTTAAAACGTTTTTGTGCGATGAAAGGAAGCGATCATAGAAAAGTCAGCTGTTATGGAAAAGTATGAACGAACGAAATGATAATTATCTTCTATTCAAACGTTAAGGATTAGTATATGTCGATTGCTCACGAAATTATAAAATCGAACACATTACTTTCCATTCAATCCATTCGTGTACGCATATTTCTAAATATACAGATCTATAGAAACAGATCTATTTTAATTCGGCAAATCTATATCGTGAAATTTCCAAAAATTTATTCGTGCGTATGTTATCCCATAAATTGTATACGATAATATTTATTATCTTATATAGTAAAACATTAACGACGAAGAAGAAACGAAAGAAATTAGGAGGAGCATTATAAGATAATTTTCATTATTTGTATTGTTATAACCTATATTAAATATATATCTATATGTATGATGTACCATCGACTTTTAGACGTAAATATCTTTTGCATGGTATTTAGCATTTGCTCATTCGTTCGCGTGTATAAAAGTACATACATATATATACTACTTTCTCGAATTTTATGATATATATATATATATATATATATTTGTGTGTGTATATATATATATATTATAATATACATATACGTATTTTCCTTCAGAGCATGCGATGTACGATCCGTTGGATACGAAAAATAATCCCACTCGTGTTTTTTAACTCTCGAACACGTTTCTGTCACGTTCAGTCTGTGGTACAAAAGGCTATCTTGTGTCTTATTTATTTTTCCCACTCTTTACTCGAGTATTTTTACGAGAAAGTCCGTTATCCAACTTCCTGCCAGATTATTACTGTTTCTCTCTAGTAATCATTATACGTATATACGTGTCTTTTGTAACTATTTACCACAGCCGTCTTCCAGTTTCTCGCACTCTCAGCTTTCCACGCATCGATCGGAAAAAAAGATTCGCGAAATTGGAAATACCATCGACGATTGGCCAGCTCGCTGTGGTTATTCAAAGCAAACATTTTCGCGAAATTCAGCGGCTCTTGGCCGTATTCCGATCGCTACGCGTGATATCGAACGCGTGAGAAAAGACACGAAATGGTTCTGTGGGATGCTAACATCGAAATTTCTGATTATCGAGCAAATTCAGAAAGCACCAGTAACACAAATGTTATAGGTTACATTACGTATATATCAAATATTCGTTGTGTATATTGGCTTGTGAAACGTTATTAAAATCACTATTGGAACTCTATAAAAAGATACTTTCGAAAATTTATTCTTATTCGAAGAAAATATACGCACGGTAGAAGTTATACTTTGGCAACAGAAAGTTTATTTTAAGGATCGACAAGCAGGTAATCGTCTTTGCCAGGATAAGTAATTTTTATTATTACGTGTTAACGAAGATTATGATGAGAGACAAATATTTTTCAAGCATTTTTATGTTTTACGAAGAACGTGTCAAGTGTTTTATACCACAGTGGCAAACTCGTAGAAATATCATCTATATTTAGGCCAGAACGTTAACATTATTTATGTGTAAGTATCAAAATACCGAAAGCTCGTTAAACATGTTGTTATATACTTCACTTATATATTACCAATACATACATTACAATTTACAGTACATTCGATTCAACGCGTTTCTTACCGTAATATTTGTTAAAAAACGATTTTCGATGTTGAATTTTTCCAATACAAGTTTTGCGATCAGAGTATCTAGTTTGCATATATTTGCAAACATTATAGCTTCTGTGGCTGTTGCTGTTATTAATCGCTATTCTCAGTGTGCTTTCAATAGGCGTAATGACATTTACGATTATTATATCGATTCACGTGGCTTTACAAATACAGTTACACGGGTTGCCAATATCGTTGCTAGACACTTAGGGAAATCAAAACTATGATTCTAAAATCGTATAAAGTCAGTTTCAGATTTACTTAAGAACGAGGATGTACATGTAAATACTTCATTTACAGTATATACGAGATAAATGTTTAAGTCGTTAATGTGTGATAGTTTTATTAAAGTTTAAATTAGAAATATAAATTAAGGATTTGCGTTGAAGATGTTATTAAATACAGAGCTAAAACTTTTTGTTTTTATCGGTTAATTTACTTTTTTTATGCTTTTTTTTTCTCTTTAGAAAAATATTTGTGATGAGTATTGTGTGTATAAAATAGCGACGAAGTAGTAAATAATGGCGATTAAAGTAAAATTTGTGGTGCTGTGTACCGCACCACGCTGAGTGTTTGCGATTTAAACGTTGGCACGTTGATTTCACGTTTGTCGATGATTTAATTAAAAGCGAATTAAAAGCAGAAACATGTAATAAGTACTGGTCAATTTTCTGCTATCTTTATGACTAAATTTATGATCAATCTACGAAAATTCCAAATATAATCAAAATTTTTGTTCGTGGTTATAATACTTATAAAATATACCTACATATATCCAAAGAAGATTAATATCTTCAACTATTTATAATCGAATATTTTTATTGTCTACATAAAATCGCCTTTGACTCGAGGAATTTAGGATTAAGCTTGAATCAAAAACTTTATACATACGCGTGTAATATTTTTATATAAGGAACAATAGAGAAATTAACGTTTATAAATAAGAAGATTCTAGGAAGATTATTATTCTTTCGAGTTGTATACTTTAAGAAATAAGGGTACTTCTACCAATAGGAAAATTATTGAAATCATATTAAACAATTCTATCGGAACTTTCTTACTGTATACTATATTATAAATCGTAAAGAACGTCAGTACTTTCTAGCTCGATAATTTACAAACTCGTAGCATCAGCGAATCGACAAGTTACGAATAGTCGATCGAAGATTTCTGTTGCGCGAACAGAACTTTTACAATTTTATAACTATGTGTCAGAGACGACGATCGACTTTACAGTTCGTACTATGTAATTTTCAGATTTCACGCGTCCCGCTATCGATCTTACTGTTATTCTATAAGAGAAATTATATCGATAACCTGTAGCTTGTAAAAGTGTGCTAATAAGAATGATCAGCTGAGGTGTAGCAAAATCCACGAAGAAAGAACGACAACGCAAGAGAGAATAACAATATTCCTGAAATTGTTATAACCAACCATGTTACGAATAATCGATCACGTTTTAATCTGTCGGTAAACGCGGAATATTGCGCACGATTAAATCGCAGTCACCCGGCGTTTATGTGTCTTTTTCTATATCTGAGGTCAGAAGGGAAAAAGGGAAAGGGATTGTGTAGAGATCAGAGACTTGTATAATGGTAAACGTATAAAAAAACTCGGTCTACCGTTTGCTTCTATTTGAAGATAACATCGGAGAGCAATTCGATTTCGCTGAGAGTGAACAAATTGGGGCTGCAGGCCGCCTAGCCGAAGCTTTGAGGCGCCTTTCACTAGTTTTGCCACGTAGCTGCCATGGAAATTGTCATGCTTCCCCTCCTTATGTTCGAGGTATCTAGAATATTACCATCATCTGACATTCATCTGTGTGAGCATAATCGATGTTGAGATGTTAGCGCGAAACCGGAAACCGGACGGAACGGAACTTGCCGTAGCGATTAATTGTTTCTTTTTTTTTTCTTTTTTTTCTGTTATACATTCAGCTTATTTTCCTCTTAATTGTACTCTTCTCCTCTTTCTATTCTATCTCTTCCTTCTTTTCTTCTCTTTTCTCTCACTCACGCGCTTTCTAACATTTTCTCCTTTGCCTCAAACTCTGTCGCTTATTTTCTTATTCTCTTTTTTTTTTTTCTTTCTTTCGCTGGATCTTTAACGATGGAAGACAATTGTGTATTCACGATGAAGTGTCTTTTTCTTTATTCCACCTTTTCGGTACTAGCAGAGGCTCGAGATATTGGTAGGTAAGCGTGGATGTGATTTCTGTTTCATTCACGCAACTATAAGATGTTATTTCAGCTGAATAATCCGATATTCTACGAAAATAGTGCGGAAAACGTATAAGTTACATATCGAGCGCGTATTTGAGCTGGCTCTATGTTCGGATCTAGTGGAATTGGAATATAATATGACGTAAGAAGATTTTGACGCATTTGTAAGAAGTTTCATTTTTAAATATGTCATAGTTTCGCATCTGATTTCGAATGAAATTAAAACATACGTGATATTACGTGAGTTCGGTGAGAAACAGTGTTTATAGCAAACGTTTTGTAATGTTCCGATGAAAGTTTCTGTATTGATCCTAGGCATTCTCGATGAGAGAAGCTGTATGTTTAACATTATGCAATTTGACATTTTTGTTTTAAAAAAGCGAACGCTCTTTACGTTGTAACAATTTCGACGCTTTGCATCTTGGGTTGGTTCTGACCTTTCTGCTTGTTAACGTGTCGATAGTTCGAGAGTCGCTTTAAACCTTTAGTTCACGCGATCCGAACTTTTTCAAGGTCCGCTTCAATCAAATTTTACTGATAAACAATGTCAACGTATTAATAATCAGACGAAATCTCCCTTTTGTGCATTTTAATGTTCACAGGAGAATCATGAAGCTTCTATTGAAATTCTTTTCTCAATCCTGTGATGCCCGTTTGTTCTTGAATTTCTTGCGAATGTCATTGATAGCAGCAACATTATCTATGAAACTTATAGACACATAGCGATAACTATTTTTAATTTATTCGAATTTTAACCACACTATAGTTAGAAATTGAAAGTTAATTTGCTTTTACGTAATGATCAGATGAATATGCGGAGCAAGTTTTTAGAAGTATCAAGAGTAGTAAGTATGACGTTTCTCATTTTTACGTAATTACGACAGAATCGTTTCAAAAAGAATGATTGCATCAGTGTCAGAAATTGAAACCTAAGTTATTTGAATTTAATAATCAGATGAATAAAGAGTGTAGATATTCATAGTTCACAAGAGAAAAACAGTAGCATTATGTTTTATAATTACGAAAGAATATTATTTTGTGGTAGTTTTTAATAATGCAGTACCGAAAGGGTTGACAATTTGGTCTTATTTTACAATAAAAGAAGATATCTGGAAATGCTGCTTTTTAAATCAATAATTTTATCTTGTTTAAGGTATTTATTCGAAGCACTGCAATTAATGCGCTTGCTTTGATTGTATGAACTTTTTGTGTTTAAGATGGCGTAAGTTTTATACATTACTGTAAAATGTTAATTATAAATCGTAAGCTATATAACTATACATAAGCATTTAACGTATTACAAAATTTTAACAATATTCCCTGTTTATACGTAAAAACACGTAACTTCAAATTACATATAAAAAGCATGTATGATACTATATCATCGATTAAACGTTAATTAAAACGACGGTATTAAATTGATGACATATTTTCTATTGGAATACTCACAAAGCATGTAGTACGATAATACTATAAACATCATGAAAACCACGTTTTATTCCACATACTTAATATCAAAGTTTTATCGTCGTCTACGTCAATGTTAAAATGTTATTTTTTTTTATTATGTGCATTACAATCTTATTATGGCTTTACGTCATTGCAAAAACAAAAAATTTGAAAAGACGCCACAGATGGGTATTATTGTTTAAAATATTTAAGAAGCAGTACAAATTATCATTGCATAATATGATAAAATATCTCGTTACCGAGCATTGCTAGGAGTAGTGTGGAAAATTAAAGAAGATTTTAGTAATTTAATAACTCGATAACTTTTTTATTTGTCTAATAATTTTTTAATTCAAATTTGATAATTTAATAATTTCTAATTCGTCAAGCTGTCTTCTTTAAGATTCTTATGTGTAATGTCATACATATGTTTATACAGGGTGGTTGATAACTGGTGGTACAAGCGGAAAGAGGGTGATTCTACATGAAAAAAGAAGTTGAAAATATAGAATAAAAATTTTTCTTTTGAGGCTTTGTTTTCGAGAAAATCGACTTTGAATTTTAGCTCGGTACGCGTGCGGTACATTATAACGGATCTCACTGTAGAACGTTGTCTCGATGGAAAAATTAAAAAAAAAATTTTATTCTATATTTTCTACTTCTTTTTTCGCGTAGAATCACCCCCTTTCCGCGTGTACCACCAGTTACCAACCACCCTGTATAAAGCTACATGATTCAATACTTTTCTAAATTCAGCATATTGAACAGCATTTTTCTTGTTTTTGGCGTACATATATTAGGAATACATTATCGTTTTATTAAAACCTTGATCTGTATCGAATATGCATATACTGCTACATAATCAATACGATAAGATCGTTGAACAAACATTAAAAAAATTACAAATCGACTTATGTAAAGATATTTCAATGTTTTTATAAATTTAGCACAGTTTATCATTTTGATGGATATTAATTCTATCAACTTTAATTCCATTTTACGAATCAATGCACGATAAAATTAGGTAACGCGAATTTAACTCCACCCTTCTGTGGCATAATTTCGTCTAAAGCTGAATTAATTAATACTAATACTATCCGACATATAATTAACGAAACCATAACTATTGTTATAAAAGAGCAAATAATAATTAGTCTAACAAAATATTTCTCAAAGATTTTTCACACGAATTAACTATGATATCTTCATAAGTACATTACCAATTTGTTTCAAGAAGTACAATGAATATTTTTTTTTTATTGTAATAATGAAACAAACTGAATCATGCCGTGTTATCTCTCTGCTCACAACTACCAAAACAATTATTATTATTAAAAGTAGCGGATAATTAATGCAACTAAAATACCCTTCAAAGATTTTCTATACAAACTAACTTCCTTAATAAACATATTATCAACGTTTCAAAATATAAGGAAGATTATCATAGTAAACGAAATAAACTCAATCACGTTATTTATTTTGTCTCTACCTACACCTAACGATACAATTATCATTGAAAAGATAGTAAATAATAATTAACCTAATAAGAAATCCTTCAAAAGCTTGTTTATATGAATTAATCTTCTTAATAATGTATCGTATAAAATAAGACATAATCGCGTCATTTATTTTTTTCCCCAACACGTAAAATCCCGTGTTACAACTACACGCTAATATTTTCTGATGACGCATATTAACCGGGCGATTTACATTTCAACGGGCGTAGGATGCAATCGAACGATTGCAAAAAAAAAAAAAAGAAAAGAAAAAACGAAGAAAAAGTCGTATCTCACGTCACGTTGATCTCTATGAATGTTTGTTATTTCGTTCTCTTTAACATTTACGTTTCTAGCATGTGTGTATGTGTTGCTTCTCGGTGCATGTACTGTCACACACACACACACTCAGCCCTCTGGATGCTATGACGAGTACCCGTGACGCTTGTCACAACACTATGCAGTGCAAATGAAGTTGCAAGAATGCTACTGTGAATAAATCTTCCTATCATGTGTGTTCTGCAAACCCATCGTGCCCGATGGTAAGAGGTGTCACTTATTATTCTTCGAACTTTCTTTGAAAGAAAATGTGAAAGTGCCAATATTTTTGCATTGTAGCGCAGTATATGTAACACCTTAGTTCGTTCCTTTTCTATCCGCCTTCGTTCCTTTTTCTTGCCTTAATACATCTCACATGAGTATGATCATCGCAGTAATTATCGCACAGAAACAATGCACCTTGTAGAACGTCTGAAACACTTAGTGCATAATAATATCGTATCCGTTCTCTTATCTCGACTCGAATGGAATTATGCCGATTTAAATGTGTCGAACGCGTTAATTGTAATTCTACTCCTCATTGGTGATCATCGACACTTTTATTTATTTATTACCTTCTTTTCCTTTTCAAGAATTATCGATACTATATCAATGGAACATTGAACGATATCAATATTATTCGATGACTGATCCGGAAGATTGTAATCAAAATTCATTAAAGAAACGAGAAGGAATAGAAATATCAAATTTATCAAAATTATGACACGGACTCGCTTTAAGTTTCTTCCTTGTTTATTACTTGCATAAAATAAACGAAACAGGCTTTTACAACTGCTTCGTCTGAGATACGTAAAATAGCCTCGAGACAAAATTATGCACTAAAGTTTCAGAATATCTCACATCGTAAGCTTCACTGATATTACGTAATCCAAGCCACCATGTGTCGATATCAAATTGATTCAGTTCCGTATACTAGCGCTTCAATAATAGCAATAATACCAATCTGTAGTACCTTTGGTACAAACGTCCAAGTCGGATGACACGTTTGATCCGCTGTACTTCCGTATGATTCCCGTAAAAGAACTTTGAACCCGGAAAGTGTCATAGCTACTTTCTATAGATGCTTTCTTACCATACACCATTAATGTTATCTGAGTAATGATTGCCAAGCGTATAAATATATTTATATATATATATATATTTATATATATACGTATATATGTATATATATATACATATATTGCATCTTTTAATGGTAGTTGAAAAAAAACAATAAACGATACGATGCATTTATCTTACACCTAAGTACAGTAGTGTTTGCTTAAATTACAATAAGTCAAGAATTTGTATCGTAATTCTCAGCACACGGGTATAGTGATTTCGTTCTGGAAAAACTCTTGAATGTGTTGACGAAGAAAAAGAAATAAATCCAGCGACAACAAGGGAGAAAGATATGATAATAGATCATTCCATAAGTAATACGGTTATTTGTATAATGTTACAACGTAAAAATTATATCGTATTCATTGGCGAAGAATGACAGATAGTTAGTGTTCGATTTTAGAAATTCCTGAATGTAAGACAAAAGACGAAATTACTTATGGGGAGACCTTTTCTTGCACGGTAATTTACCACAGATAATTCGATACTAATAAATCGACGAGTTGAAAGTTTTCAATTCTAGACTTCTTTTTTATAATTTCATAATTCCTTTGTCAGATACGGTAATTATAATGAACAATTTCTCATCCGTAATCTTCGCTAGTAATTTACTAAATAATACAATTTACTATTAAACTTGCCACTGTCAAGCAAGGGTATTTATTAATATTAGTAACTCGTAACCTGTGACTTGTGTAAAATTATTAACAATATCAGTTCGATCGTGCATCGATGCCCCTGATATATTTCTCCCTTACTCTCGCTGTAATTAATTCGTTCCTCGTCGATAAGTTTAAGCTACGATCGCAGCGATCGATTCGTTCTTCGACGAACCGTCCCGTTCTTCTTACTAACAAAAGATCTGAAGAACGACGTGGCAATTGTCGTAAGTATCTTCGTATCTGTTTCTCGCGACATATTCGTGAAAACGTTAAGTTGATAGGAAAACGCATTCGCTGTAATCGTAGTCTTAAACTACACTGGCAGAGAGTATAGTATGAAAGAACGAGCTCGAAACACCGAATAGGCGTTCCAGTTAACCACCGTAACAACTTTATTGGAATTTAAACGTGCGCTACTGTATCGCGATGTGCTGTACGATGCTATTAAGTTCACCAGCTGATACGTCAGTGAGCCTGACTCGCCTAAGCTACAGGAACGAACGTCCGATTTCTTTTACAGCGCGAAGCATATCGGAAGAGTTTAGCAGCGGAGATACAAGGTATCGTGACAATGGCGAATCAACGAGTAGCACGCACAGTCGTGATCCGCGTTCTCCAAAGGAGAAAGAAGATAAAGAAAGAGGTGACGAAGGTATTTCAATACGTTTCATGTGACTGATCCTCCATGGTCGACCTGTTACCGATCTCCCTTATTTCTATAGAGATGGTCAAGGTGTACGACGGCGACAATTCCCTCAGACGACGGATATTTCGCGTGATCTCGGTGCCCCGGCAAGCTACCACCGAACAGGTCCTGACATCAGCACTTCGTGCATTTCATATTACGAAAGATCCTAGTACGTATGAGATATCTTCTCTTAACCCTGTAGCCGCGACTGATTTTCATATCGGAAAATCATATTCGTTGTAACCGTAGTCTTAAATTACACTGGTGGTGAGTACTTTATTTTTAAGGAATTTAAATGTACGCGTATCATAACGCCTTGTAGGAATTTTCTGTACAAAAATCGTTTAAAGTTATATGGGGTTGTCGTAAGAAAAATAACGTGACCTGACGAAATTTGCAGAATTAATAGATATATTTATTAATGGAACACGTAGATGCGATTTGAGCATCCCCCACGACTGAAAGATTAATCTTTTCGCTCTGGATACGTCATAGAGGAACAATCGAAAGTATAAAATATAAAGCTACAAATTGTTAAGCTTTATAATTATCAGAACGACATATGAATCGTTATGTATCTTCCGCTTGTCAAATTTATTATACGAGGAGCATTATACTAACTATGTTAACCAATAGGTGAATAACTGTATCCAAAATCCATACGACTCGTTTTAAAATTTGGAAAACGACATAGTTGTTGAAGCACATCGAATAAAAATGTTGCCGTGCAAGGTAACATGAAAGACAACGTGCATACGAGCATTGTTTATAATCTTGGATTGCATGAAAATATAATATTGTAGCGCTGGATGATTACGTTACGGTTTTCTCGTTAGTAAATAGCGAATATTTACACATTTACGAGAAATTTAAAAGTACAGGAACCTACAGAGTATGTACTAAATAATATACAAGTATACAGATATGAAGTATCTAAAACAAGATACTTATTATAATATTTAGCAAGTGAAAGAAATTTCTATATATGTTTCATTTCCTTAGTAATTTTCATGAAATTATGAATTTGCATGAAGATCAACAGTCTGTTCATTAGTGCTATTAACAGGAGATAATTAATGAGGAACACGGAATATTTCTAGTATTTTAGTTTCGTGTTTGATGAATCTTCCTTTTTTGGATACAAGACTTGACGAGTTAAAAGTGTTTCTCTTATTTTACTCTTTTATGTGATTCTTGACTCTGAAAATGGAACACTTGTAGTACACTATGCAGTGAAATGGTGATAATTAATTAACAGTTTTTACTAATAAAGTTAGAATATGGCAAAAAACTATGACAAATGAAAATGCTATGACAATCGCGGTTTACCTCTGTTGTACGAATGTTAGTTTGTTTGTTCTCTTTATTAGGAAAAGTTCAGTTATAATTTAACACATATAAAAAGTTAAACAAATTAATTCTGTATCACGAATATGAATTAAACTTTGCTCTAGACTATGAGGAATGGGTTTCCTCTAAATATATATTTTCATTTCAATCTATAATAGAACGAAGCGTTATTATAAAAATGAGATTTCAGAATGAATTGCATCTGTATTAACGTGGCCTACTGTATTTATCGTTGGTGTGTTCTTTGAGTTTTTCCATCGATAACAAATTGTTTAACTTTGAGAAACACACGAAATAATCGTTATTGACATGTCCCGTTTTTTGTTCCAATTTTTTGCCACTGATTTCGTTAAAACGAAAATAAGATTCGGGACAGATTCAGGTCAAAATGATTCGAAGACCGCAGCAGGATTAAAGGAAAGAAAAGAAATAATCGTAAACAAGTTTTGTCGCAAATTTATGTTAATAACTTTCAATTAGGTTTACATGTATATTTGTTATCAGCAATTCTAATCATTTTATCAATGCCATATAACGAATAAATGTGTGACTATCGAACAGATTTTCAAATAAGTATTATACTGTCAGGGAGAGTATATTCGTCGAGAGTATATCGATAAGGCTTAACACGCTGTGAATTGTTTAGAAAAATGATGTTTTTGGGAACAAATTTGCACGCACGTATGTGCGTCAATAGCATTTACGTGAACTCAATCTGTCGGATGTATCTATACGCCCACAGTAACAAAACAGTTGACCATTATATTTTACTCCTACGTAAAGATCAAACTGACAACTGCAAACAGAATAGTTTTGTATCAATGGAATTGTTCTTCTGTCATATATTTCATGCTAAATGTTTGTCTCTCCCTCTATCTGCAAACTCAATTAGAGATGGAATCCCGTTAATTCTAAACTGTGAATAGATGAAAAAAGATATAATATTTCTATATTCGATCATGCTATTGTCCTGAGTGAACAATTAAAGATATTATTTAGATTTCAATCTCATACCACTTGATTTCGGAATGTTGCGATTAATTCAAAAAGATCATGACGTATTAATTACAATAATATTACAATTATTCCATTTGAAGTTTAGCCATTATAAAATATTTTGCTATTATTCGAAAGTAGAAAACATTCTATTTACCATCGATCGAACAAAGTGAATAGACATCACAAATTTAATAATTGCTGTGTTACTACGACTTCTTAATAATAGCTTCACGCAATATCATATAATGGAAAAAATCTTTATTGTAATCGGTGATGAAAAATTTACACTTTGAAATTGAAATCCCCTTGCAAATAAATACAAAAAGAAACGTTCTCTCTGAAAATTTTCACTTACTTTCATTGAAATTCATTTCAAGGATTATCTCGCTCCAATTGAAAGATTATATTTCTTTCATCTGTATTTTAAATAATTACAATTACATTCCCATTATATATATTTCGTAATCATATTTCACTTACATTTCTTAACTTATCGCAATTATATTTCAATTGTATTCTCTATAATCTAATCTGATTTCTGTATTTCTATCCAATTTCTCAATTAATATTATTAACAGTAAATATGTAACAACGATACTACACATCTCATTATAGCTAAAACAAGAAGAAACTGAACAAATACATTGCAATTATATTCCAATTATACCTTCTATGATCTAATCTAATTTCTGTATCTCTATCTAATTTTTATATTTATATTGTTAATGGTAAATATGTATTAATGATAGTACACATTGTATTATAATTGAAACAACAAGAAGTTTAACAGTACATATTTCTATTTCCTCAAAAAATTCAGCCAACTTTTACCTCACCGACCTGTATGCCACGGATGAGACTGAATTATGCGATCCAACTCCGGTTCTAAACTTGAATCGCAAAGAGGGCAAACGTCCGGCTGTCTTCTTACGGTTCAAGTAAGTTTCAATCTAGAAACTTTGCAATGTGTTCGAACATAGCCTATAGAAAATCGATTGAAATATGACCTGATAATTTCAGGGATAGCGAAAGCGGACAGGTACGCGTCTATCCAGGCAAACTACAGGTGTCAGAGTCGTTCTGTATGGTATCTGTCACAGAAGCAACAACTGTTGCGGACTTAATCGAAGAAGCGCTTCAGAAATTCGGTTTGCAAAATTTTAAATCGGAAGATTACAGATGCAGCGAGATTCTTCTGGATCGCGGTGGTAAATCTCAAATTCAATCTGAAATTTTAACTCGCTATATGAAAAATTGCATTCAAAGTAGAATTGATTAGTTAGTAAACGTTATTGGCGATGGAACTAGACTCGAGTAGGTATAATTATATTTTAAGACATATACGTCTGAAGATATAATTTCATTCTTCGTTCGTTTCCAGGAACGTATTTTGTTATATCAGATGAATTCATATATTCGTACGCATTTTTGTATATCTGTTGAAAACAGATATATAAAAGTTATTTTACAGAACTAGAATTTGAAAGCCACAAGGGAAAATAATAATTACCGTATTTCAAATTAAAGTAGATCTTGACTTCGTATTTTTATTGTTGCTTTGTTATAACTAAAGATATTCATAAACTTGTGGATTGATTCGATACTATTTGATAATTATAATCAGATATAATTGTATACAAAAATTATTATTACGTTTATCTAGTCACTGAAAGAGTTTTGGCTCGTGACGAGAAGCCATGGGAAATCATGAAACAACTGGGCCAAGATTCGATCAGGCAAATGGAGTTGATGCGATTTTACCTTCAGCTGAAGCAAGATCCCCATGGCCCTAATTTAGCTTTGTTCGTCGGCAATTTGCCACCAAACCTCTCTGAAAGGTGTTACGAAAACATGTTGACCGAGTTCTTAGGCAAAGGTAATTCTTTCAATATCTAAACGATACTTCACGATAATTCATTTCACGTGTAACGATCGCTTGTTTCGAATATTTTCAGAAAATAAATTCTCCTTTATCGGTCCAATATACTATGAATATGGCTCGATGGTAATCATTTACGAGGACTCGAACAAGGCAGTCACGGCGTTGTATACGTTGAGAGAATCAAAATATGAGGATAAACATCTTTTGGGTATTTTTATTCTATCTAGTTTAATTAATTCATTGGCGTGCACAGGCTACCTATGGTTTCTTGGTAAAATCTAATTTATTAATTCTCATTCTTTCTAATGTTTCGCACTTCACACGTTGGAAGACTGTAAATGAGAATTGCGAACAAAAAACAAAATGTTGAGAAAAAATTTAGTAAGATATTCTGTAATATCTAGCGTTAAAATATTAATATGGCAATGAGTTAACATTATACATGTATGTATAAATACTTTTTGTACTATAGTGGCCTTAATATTTTTGTTGTTGTAGTCATGCTATTACCAAGTATCGAGCCAAGCATGGTGCCCCCAGGGGTACAACCTTTACTCGTTTTCGTGAACGTGAAATCTGGCGGTTGCCAGGGACTTCAATTGATCTCCAGCTTCCGAAAACTTTTGAATCCGTATCAGGTGTTTGATCTCGACAATGGAGGTCCACTTCCTGGGTATGCAAAGAACAAACTATACAATTCTAAAAGTGTTTGATAGCTCACTTCTGAATTAACAGGTAGATACTCGTAATATCTATCTGAATATACTTACTTAATATTTACCTATAATTTATGTTAAAAACACAATGTCATATCTATTTTGTAATTTATAACATACATTGAATATTATAGAATACTTTGTTGGCAGTTTACCAGATTTTAGAAGTATTATGAAACAACATACCTTAGGAGTAGTTAAAATGTGCAGTTGTAAATGAATTAAGATTGATTTGGAAAGATCTGGTAGAATTGAAATCGTTTAATTAAAATTTTCTAGAAGTAAAAATAGAGAAGAATTTAGTTCTAAGATAGTAACTATAGTAATTTAATATAATTATCATCGTTGTATTGCAGTCTCTACGTTTTCCGTCACATAAAGGATTACAAAATCTTGGTTTGTGGTGGTGATGGAACGATAGGATGGGTCCTGCAATGTTTGGATAACGTGGGACAAGACAGTGAATGTTCCTCACCTGCTTGCGCCATCGTTCCCCTAGGAACCGGAAACGATCTCGCCCGTGTCCTGTGCTGGGGTTCCGGTTACACCGGCGACGAAGATCCCTTGAATTTACTCCGAGACGTAATCGACGCGGAGGAATCCTTATTGGATAGATGGACCGTTGTATTTCATACAGAAGACAAGGAAGATAAGCAGTCGGCTACCAATACAGGAGGTGAGTATCATTAAAAATAATTTCCATCGTAAAAATAATTTCCAACTAAAGAAATTACGAAGTTGATTTAACACGTAAAAATTATAAATCACGAAACATTATGAAAATTATAATACGCTATGAATACGAAGGTGTCAAATGAATATGAAATACGAATATTTTATACGTAAATATTACAGGCGCAGGTGCTACTAGCGAAGACAATACGCAAATACTCGTGATGAACAACTACTTTGGTATCGGTATCGACGCCGATTTGTGCTTAGACTTTCACAACGCAAGGGAAGAAAATCCGAACAAATTCAAGAGCAGATTGCGTAACAAGGGAGTATACGTGACAATGGGTTTACGAAAAATGGTGAAACGGAAACCGTGCAAAGATTTGCATAAAGAAATTCGATTAGAAGTGGACGGCAGAGTCGTTGAATTACCTCAAGTCGAGGGAATAATTATCCTAAACATTTTAAGGTGATTCATTCATTAATAATTTAATAACGTTTATGCAAATTTCTACCTTTTTTTGGAACACTACCAAAAAGATGAAACCTAAGCAAGGATTTGTTTCACTCACTATTTGAACAAGCTTTCTACTTTGAACATGTAACATTTGTCACAAATTATGCATAAAAATCCACGATCCAATAGTAATTATCTAAGTAGGGAGTTTATTAATCCTTCGATGGTTTAATAAAATGTCGATGAATTGAGAATTAATGACTTAGAGCTCAGATAATAATATTTTTATCGGCAAGATAAATATCACATATACAAAGAATGTACAATTAAATTTCATTTAAAATCTATCATATTGTAGTTGGGGTTCTGGGGCAAATCCCTGGGGACCAGATACGAAGGAAGATCAATTTTATACACCGAACCACGGAGATGGAATGTTGGAGGTAGTTGGAGTTACAGGTGTAATACACCTTGGACAAATTCAATCTGGTCTTCGCACAGCTATGAGGATAGCGCAGGTGAATTTAAATCCTGTTCTTAGCTTTGTTAGGACATTTTGCAATACATAATGCAGCCGTAGATCCCAATTGAAACGAAAATTAGAAATAAGATCTTCGTTGTATATAAAGTCGAATAATTAGGACGATAAAAATACTCAGTGTGTACATATAGCATAATATACGTATGTACTATGTGTTTCAAAATTTAAATACTTGTTACTTTAAGTTTTGAGTTTCCAACAAATAATAGTATTAAGCCTAATGGCAAGTATGAGCAAGTAATTTTTTATTTTATAAATATAATATGATACAGTGATATGATGCAAGAAATTGGTTTTGAATGTTTCATAGGGAGGACATATAAAAATTTATTTGCACTCTGATATACCAGTACAAGTGGACGGAGAACCGTGGGTTCAGAGTCCAGGGAATATTGTAGTTTTGAAATCAGCGCTAAAGGTAATCTTTTTACAGGCACTCGTAATGAACCCATAATTCTATCGAAATACAGAACGGAACGGATGCAACGCATCCAAGAAATTTTTTAATTTTCCGCTCTTCTTCTATCTCATTTTCACACGTTACATATTCACGGAAATTGTGTCACATTTGTAAGTATAGTTTGTTTGCTGATTCGCGTAAATCAATTTAATGGAAACTGAGATATCGATCTATTTTCTGATTTGACATTCATGAACGCCCACGCGCGCGAATAATACCAAGCGTAATCTTTTTAACTGGAGTATAAAACTATGAATTATTTATTATTTCTTCGGATACACAGCCCGTAACGTTTTCCTAAAGATCAGAACTGCAGCCTGGATTTCGTCCACTCGTCTTGAAACATTGAACTTTACTGACATTTCAAATTCAGACCTACAATCTATTGAACGATCCAGCTACTCGATGAATCTCTGATTATCTAAATTTCATTGTTTGACATTTCAAATTATCAAACTGTTCGAATTGACAAATTTCGAGCGATAAATTATACATTCAGTTTTTATAAATTTACAATTTTACGTCAGATAAGATAATCAGCTAACTTGTAATTCATCAAATTTACATGATCTCGTTTATTTTACTACCGATTTAATTACTATTATTAATTTACGGTCTCTAAAAATTTGGCTAATCATATTACTTCAAATTTACAAGAGAACTCTGATAGCCCATGAAATTTCGATAGAACGATGGAGCCTATCTATCTATTTGTCGCACGTTGACTCTCTGCAGGATCTTGCATCTTTACCTGCACTATCTGCTAGATCTAACTTGCCATGACGCTCTACTCAGACACCATAAGAGCGTGATCCAACCGCTGGTGTCCGGCAGCGCATGCATTCCCACCCCTAATCGCACACAAAAACTAATGTCTCCTTGTTCCTTTGTTCGCTCCAGGCTACCATGTTGAAGAAAAATAAGATCAAGCGTCGGAATACCGAACCTTCGATTCCACCCGCTAATGGGGTGGGGAGCAAGAGCACGGACGAGTGTAGCAACAAAAGCTAGAACGCAGTTTCTGCGGTCTATGTCGATCGATTAGACACGAAATTTTCAATTAGTGCTCCGCCTAGGCTCCACCTAGTATCGTGTACTATTGCTGCATACGATACAGGGGAGTTTCGGTGCGATCATTACGATAAAACACAAACACACACGTACATGTACTTCCTATGTAGTAAAACTCCATTCGATGTTTCCGCCGCATGTAGCTCTCTGTGCCAGTATCGTCGATGTGTGTGGATGGACGATAAATTTTTGGACAGCGTCAAAGTCTCCTGACTCTCAAGATTACATTTCCAAGGCCATCTGGTTTCGAATAGAACCAGAATGTCGTGGCTTTCTGTTTGGTTTTTAAGATAGTTAGCATCAAGGTTCCATGACTTCCAAGAGATCTTCTTTCCAATCGAAAAACCGGTTACCAGAAAAATTGAAACGCAATTTAATCCCGTGGCATTGACCGTAGTATTGGTTGTATTACCAGAATCGTCGTAATAACGAACTCGTAAATTGTTACAGAAACTTGATGAATTTGCAAATACATTTTTATCCGGAGGTTTTTGCCATTCCATATTTTGATGCTTTGGTCGTCGATGGTTCTAGCGTTGAATAACGTATTGAGTATCAGGAAGGTTTTAAGATCTTAAGATTTTTCTCTTATCTGTATGATTTTGATAATAGTTTTAAATTTTAATTAAAGTTATTTACTTCACGCATGATGTAACGTGGAATTTGTTGACTCAACGTTGTCAGATCTTAGCGTCCAAGAATTTATCAATTACGCTCACGCCTAAATGTTCAGCGCAATTCAAGCTTGCCGTAAAACAGTGTTGTGAAAAGTTAAAGGTTCGACAAAATTTTATCAATATTTTAGAAATATTATACGATAAGCAGTGACAATCATCCTGTACTTTGAAGAAAAATGAAAGAAAATATACATATATATTCAGTGTGCAGTTGAAAGCTATATACAAATGAGCAGGTAATGATTGATTGTAAAAAAAGAGAAATGAATATACAGAATAAACTTACTTTGTTCGAAGCTTAATTTTCGGAAAACATCGAATTTAGAAATGTGGTGCATATATATATATACAGTTATGGCTATAAGTATAACTTTCGATCGCATCCTGTATATATTTTAAAAATCTTATAAAACCTATACATTTTCGCAACACCGTACATGATTTTATTATTCTCGTTCTTTCAAATGGTGTTTCCCAGCTTCAGTAATGAACGCTCGAAGGATCTTACACATTTTTTTAAAAGAGTATGATTTATTTTATCGAACCATCATTTCTAAGTAATATGTGAAACATATTGAAGTATAAAAAGAGTCTCATTAGCAAAATCTCCAGCTTATTAATTGGTAGGCGCGCTTATTTTTACGTTAGATATACAGGGTGTTTTTTCAAATGATATTTTTCTAAAACACGCAATCCATGTATTTACACGTGCTTTCCTCATCATTCATACGCTAAATGTTGCAAAGTTACATCTTTATCTTTACTATCTACCTTTTATCTCTAATCTAATCGTTTTTACACACAAGTACCTCGATATTTCTTTATAATAAAATTATCAATTGCATAAAAAGATACAACATATGCTTCAGCGAAAAAAAGAAGAGAATTGAAGATTATCTTCAATCTTTACAACACCATTTCCGATGCAAACACACGATACACTTTCTGAAGTCAGTTTGTCTTTTTTTAATACAATTTTATTTTCAACCTCTTACGTTCTAAAATTATCGCTTAGCTCAGTTGTATGAGACAGCCTGTATATATATAAGTATTTTGCTTACATTTTTGCTTATCCGAAATTTATACATAATTTGTTTCCATAATCTCCAAGCGGAAATTAAGGCAGATAATGAGCTAAACGATATTAATCGTATCGTTAATCAATCGTTTAAAACCCAACATCTGAACATTGACCCTTCGAGCGTCGATTAATTTTTCATTTTACTTTTACAATAGAACTCTATTTATCTGAACTCCGTTTATTGAAACGAAATTTTAATCAATTAACTATGGAAAGAAATCATTTACGTAATTACTTCAACTCGCACAAATTGAACTAATGTTATTTGCAAAATTGCACAGGCTACAAGTTACAAGTATTCTACACGAACACTCGATATATAATTGTAAAATCATGCGACAAAAATTGTTAATTCGCTAATAGTCAGCAAATAGTCAGCATCAGTCAGCAAATAATTTTGCAAGAGAATTCCTTTTATCTGAACGAGAAATTCTGTCGGTCCGAAAGTATTGGAACACCTACTATATATATTCATTACAGAACTCTAACAAATTTCACGTCATCCGTTTTTCTAATTAATCGATTAATATAATTTACGACAAGTATTAATTAATTTTACATATGATTCGAATAAAGTAACTGAAAACTAAAGCAATGAAAAGTCAATGGGTATTCTAGTACTTCAGTTTCTTTTTTTTTTTTTATTATTTAATTTGTACTTTACAATTTGTCCAGCTGGACATTCGGTAAATTATACTTCAGTGGTTGCAAAAAGTACCGACGTACGTCCTTATCTTCCAATGGCGCGTATTTTATCAAGCTCTGCGTGTTTCATTTCCATAGCGTGCAATTTTTCCAGTCATACGAACGTATCATTAAACGATAGAAAATGAAATAACACTTGGATCTAATCGACCAGCATGTAAATTCTCTAATAAGTACAACGATGTGCGAGTTGTTTTCGTGTGCGCCGTTGTGGCCGGTATTACAATAAAGCGAAAAGAAAAGTAGAATAAAAAAAATCACCAATCTCTGTTATACGAACTAAAGAATTAATCTTTACCATTGCCGGTTCAGATAAATAGAAATCTACCGGACTACTTGTTTCATTGGCATCCTTATCTCTCAGTGTTTTGGCCCGTGGAATGTTCTAGCTGCGTTTAACCGAACATGTCGTTTCACTTTGGTCACTTGGCATTGACATATTACAATCTCTATATTTGTTCCTTTGTGCGCGCCCCCTTGTGATCCTGTCCCTTCCTAGGCCACGATGCTGAAGAAGACCAAGGGTAAAATGAAACGGCGTAACACAGAGTCCAGCATGCAGCTGGCACTTCAGGCCACGTCCTCGAACGATACGGAGTCTGAAATCTTCTGAGTGAGCGAATGTTGTCCCTCGTACAACCAGAACGAGGATGCCACGCCATGAGTACCACATATTTTATGAGTACCACGCACACGCAAGCGGCACGGTTTTGACACAACACGCAACAAACGAAATCGGCCTCGAAATTCGTCTGACCACGGTCACGCACTGTACGAACTTATACGTAAGCACAAACAGAAACAGCAGCAACACGTATATACCACATACGCGAGACATAGTACACATATACAGAACAGAATCTACACACGTACGTGAATACAATTGTCTTTGATCACAAAAGAAAAAAAAAAAAAAGACGCAAGTAGAACCGCTCCAGGAATAAAAGTAAAAAAGAAAAAAAAACAAAAAAAGAAAATATGCCAGGATAAATCACGACGCGCTGCGAACTGAAGCTGTGACTGTTAAGAATAGAGAAGAAAGGAAGGAGGAGAAGAAGAAGAAGAAGAAGAAAAAGAAGAAGAAGAACGAGAACAAAAATGCTCGTCCAATGGACAACTTCATTATAAACTCAAGTAATCTTTAATGTCCCTTTCCGAGTTGCTAGAATGAAATAACTAGATCTCATTTTTAAATGTTAATAATCATTATATAGCATTGTACGTAGCTTTGATCGATATTTTTTTAGTAAAGAAAAAAGCGAGAAAACAAACCAGAGACGAGGGTGAAGAGAAGAGAGCGAGAGCGAAAGACGAGAGTGAGAGAAAAACGTGTCGTGCGTATGTAAAAGAAGAGAGCGTGAGAGAGAGAGAGAGAGAGAGAGAGAGAGGATGAGTGAGAAAGCGAGCGAATCAAATAAAAAAAAAAAAGAGTGAAAGAAGGAGTTATACGCGATAGAGTAGTAAAAAAAAAATCACGAGATAAAGTTACCAAAGAAAAGCAACAGTATTGAACGAAGTTTCTCCCCTGTTTATTCGCTTGACAGCCATACATTGCGCATTTACGTTGTATAGTTGGTTATTTAGTCCCGAAAAACGATCAAAGGAAGTGAACTGTAAACTGTACATGACATTTCGTATGGTATTTTACTAAGTCACAGTAAGTATCACGATACGAAACCCGTAATCACGAATATCGAATAAATACAAAATCAGTTGTTATTAATATAATATATATATATTAAAAAATATAAATATATATATATACATAAAATATTTATGATTAAAAATATTAATATATTTACAAAAGAGTAATGTATTAGTATTACGATTTTAAGTTGTGATAACTGTTGTGCGTCTGGCTGCTGGGCAGTCTGGAATTTATAAGAAAGAAAAAGAAACAAATACCAGTGGCAGTCAGTTACACATTTCATAGAATACGAGATAATAAAACAAAACAAAGGAAAAAAGAAACGAACAAAGAGGAACGAAAACGTGGAAACGAGAGAAAACTTATCGGAGAAGGAAAAGGGTGAAGATGTAACGCGTTTGGTAGACGTTAAAACGGCGGTGGAACGTTTTTGCCAACTCGTCTCGACTGTAACCGAGAGCACGACGATTTCATACGATTTTCCGAACAATTCGTCGAAGCTGAAAGAGATGTTCGAGGGCGACTTGGCAATGACGTTCCCCATTTTCTGGCTCCGGCAAAAAAGCTCTTCTCAAGAAGAAAGAATTTTTGCCGCAGCCACCGGTATTGCAACACATTCCACTGATAACGTGGTTCGAGAGCAAAAATGGACACACATGTACATTTCTAAACTATGCCAAAAGGAACTTCTAACGTGTTAACACTTTCAACGCTGTTTGAATCACCTCTCGATACGCAGGGCCGGTTCTGGTTGGAGGAAAAGCAAGAAAACCAAAAAAGAAATAGCAGAAGGAGAAGATTGGCGAAGCGTTTACAGAAACGTCGAGCTTTCCAGAAACGATTTGTATACGCAAAAAGAAAAAGGAAGACAGTGAATTTTGAAGAGGGGCTGTTCGATTGACTGTAGGGAGTGAACGAACGCATCGTCGCGGTCGTATATAACGTCGTGGATCGTGTTCATATTGGACCTTTCATTGGCATCAATTCGATTAAGAGACAATTCTGGTGCCAAACAGTTGTATATAATACTGTAAATGTAGGACTAAAAACGAGAGAAAGGAGAAAAGAAGCGAAACAAACGAATCGTTATTCCGAGTGGCGGAGAAAAGATGCTGTTCGTTACATGCCGGACATTTAAGGAATAGAAGAAACGATCGTCCCTGTTAGGAATATTAATACTAAGGGAATGGTTTTGGGGGGGGAGGGGAAGAAGATAAGCAAAATGAGAGAACAAAGATAGAAAGGAAGGGAGATTAAAACGTGTCGCGCGCGTTTCGATCGATCGAAACATAGCAATTCGATCAATTCGACAATTCGTTTCGCGCGCGAACCGTCGCGTCAAAAGTACGGAAAACGTGTCAAATGGTAATAGAAGATGTGCGCGAGGTCTTTTAATTTTCCGTTTTTCGAGACGAGACGCTTGTAGAAATACGCTCCTGCATCTCTTATAGCTACTTTGTAGGTCTTCTCAATCATGAGGTATCCGATCGCACGGAGAAAAAAAAAGAAGAAAATGAAGAAACATTTCGCCAGAGCACATGCAAAATTTTCCTTCAACCGGGAGACCGGTCATTGCCGGATGAGACTATGGTCTCCCATCTGTACGAAACGATTCCCGACAACCTGCCAATGATGCATGGGCTTAGTCGGTCATGGTCAACATCCGGCAGACATGAGCATAATCGACGTATCGGCGGCAGATTGAAATCGCGAGTCCGTTTGTTAATCTGACCAAAAAAAAAAAAAAGCTCTAGTGTATTCGCTGTTGCTATAAACCAAAAAAAAAAGATGATAGAGGAACCACATTAAGCTATGAACAATCTACGTATAATGAATGTATGTGCTATGGAAAACAAAAAATACGCTAGCTGTTACGACTGAATTCGTTTCCTGTCCTTTCGACACACGTATACACACACACGCACACAGATACACGCGGTTACACACAGAATACACGGATGAAGATCACGCGAGAGTATCTTTTACGTACGCGACACAAAATCCGAGTTTAACATATTTTTGCTCTTCATTTTTCCTTTTCCTTTTTCCCGTCACCTGCGAACTCGCTGCGAATTATAAAAACGAATTACAAAGCGACATACACACGTGACATACACGCAGGATACGTACACAGAAACACAGAGCCTTCCTCGGTTTTCACGTTTCCATTGTATTCGTAGATCATAGTGTTCCCGAGAAACGCGGTTCCGTAAAATTATTTTCTATCGATTAGAGCGAAAGAGCGTATCGTAATCATCACGGGATCGGATGTGACACGTTTTAGGGATGATTTCTTTCCCCTATCGAGTAAATATCGCTTTTCGTTTCTTTTTTCTCCATGCCCCCAGATCGTACACACGCCTGTATTATCGTTGTAAGCCGAAAGGACACTTGCTGTGTGATCGAATAGAGAAAATTCGTTGTGTAATTACATTTGTCGATGTATCACGCGCACACTGCTGTGGTATACCGAATCGAATTGTTACCGAGTTTAACGAGCTTTCGTTTTCTCCTGATTGTATTGTTTCAGACGTGCGCAAAGCACGCGTTACTGTATCCGCGGTGGGCGAGGTTTTTGTTTCAATCATGTCTTGGCGTGTATTACGGAAAGAGTGGAATATTACATAAATTAATGTACACATTATCTGTGCACTTTTTTTCGCTTTTACAAACTCCGTATCCGCTCTCCGTTTCTCTGTGTGATACTTTCACACGAGCGGACGCATACCTCCCCTCTGATCCTTTGTTCCATTTTTATTATCGATTACTGTATGCTGATTGTGCAAGATACAGTGTAATTCTTGGTAACAGAAAGAGGTGACTTTTTTTCTTATTTAAAAGAAATTGGAAATATGGAATTTGTTCATTTTAAATTTACAAATGGTAATTTTGAAGCAGATGGATGTACGTCTTTGAAAATGCCTCGAACTTGAATACCTTTAAAGTATTGATTGTCATATTTATCAGTTTATATCTGTGGATTATCTTTTCTAGAATATGTAATTAGCATAATACAATGCCTTTATAAATAGCCGTGAAAATAGGAAAATAAAATCTAGAATTGTGATCTGTCTTTCTGTTATAGGTAAGATGAACCATTTTAGTAAAAGTAGTATTATTCTACCAATCGATTAAATTGGCTTAAAAATCACCCTTGCAAGTTGGTATTACAGTTACGTGCTATTAAAACAGTGTTGATTAAATACGAATTTAACGAAAGTCTACATTTTTTTACATTGCCTTTGAATTATTTTGTATAGAATATTTTAGAATTATTTTATATATATAATTATTATCTTCTTTTTAAATGAACATTTTTTTTAGATGTGCACAATGCTGAAAATTAGAAAATTAGATATGAAAATCTTTCTTTTAACATATTTCATTTTTAAATATTTCATCTGTAACGTTTTTAAATCTTTCTTTTAACACTTTCTGATAATATTTCCTAAAGATTATCGGGTAAGTTTTTAATTATCTGTAGTACATACGGATTAAAGTATTATGTTCGTGATAATCATAGAGAATTACGGAGAATTATATTCGTCACACTGTCTTATTGACATCAAATAATTGTTATTTGAATATTTCACGAGTATTACTATGTTACCATCGTGTTATGTGGTATATAACAATCGTCCCGCTGTTTAACCATAAAGTTCCCGAAAATTTCCTTGTATTCGCAAAACCTACAGTGAACATGCCGAACAGACGGATACCTGTGATGAAAATTACCGACATATTCTCCAAAAACATGAGTAAGTTATTGGAAACACGTGTCTCCTTACAAAGGTAAGGCTTTTCAAACATTTATTCGCTTCTAGTTGGACCTAAAATACAATGATACAGGAATATGGTAATTGAGTTCCTCTACAGAATTAGAATTGACATTAATAATTTAAAAATATTTATATAAAATATTAATCAATATCGCGCAATACGATATATATCGCCAATAATATATTTTATTTTACTGAAGAGCTACAATATTAATATACATACATAGTCCGGAGGAACAAAAGAAAAATAAGGATTTTTTTAGGTAATTTTATGATACTCGCTTTCGAAGATAGGATGATATTTTCTGAATCGACACATTAGCACTTAGAACAATTTATTTCATAACAACGCTTTTAAGTTTTCATGTCCATCGTCTTATCGATAACTGGCTGTGACGCAAAAGTGATTACTTCCGACGAACCGCCAGCTAATCGTAATTGCTCGACTGGTCGATGATCAGACGAAGGAATTTCCACGACAGTTCCACGACCATAATTGTTTTATGTTTCGTTCAGGTATCGCTAATCCCATTTCTAAAGTTGCCTGAAGCGCTACCTGAGCGCTTCAGGTATACGAAGGCGCGTAAGTGTTTAGTTTAATCGGCTTAATGTTATAACGTTAGCAGTTTAACGTGAAATACGTTTGTTTCTTTCAGCGATTTTTAGAAATACCGGTGATGAAAGAGTTGGAACGGAAAGCTTCGCTTTATTAAGTGTACATTCAGGAAAGACATCATAATGATTAAAAGATTTTATTTATAGACATATGGTTTAAAAACATTGTTGCATATACAGATTAAGTACCCCTTTGGAATTACATATTTTTATAATCGACAAAAATACATCGATAAAATAATTAACTGACATATTGCATATTTCACAAAATAAAGAACTATAAAGAAACTTTGCAAACTATGCTATAATCGTTCGGCGGGTAAATTACAATAAAATATTTCCGCCAATATTATTGATATAATGACATTTAAAAAACAAATATTACATAAATCATGAGCACGATATTGTTGATGACAAGAGATCCAGCGATATTAGAATTTCTATTCGATTATTTCACATTTTATTAGCTGCGTATAATACGATACTGCTATATGTATATTGCATTTCATATAGAATATTCGTTAGTAGATCTGTTTGAAATACATCGTTAATTTTTTAGGGAATTTTGGAAATTCCTTTCTTGTATACGAAAAACTTCAAATTGATTCTTGATATTCTAATATAAAATATAATCCTCTTTCAAAAATATACTGGAATGCTTTATAATATATCAATCACAAAAATATTTAAGAAGCTTTATATTAATTTCATTGTAAAGAACATTGTTTTCTTTTAGTTATCAAAATAAACTTTATGTATCAATTCCGTACCATAGAAGGTAACAAAAGTCTTGTTACAGAATAGAAACCAAAAAAGGAAAAATTATCTTTTGGAAGCTTTCTTTGAGCTTTCCCTCAGTAGCTTTCAAACAGAAAAATAAGAAGAAAATTAAATTTCCAAAGTATGTAAGTATAGTGTTTCAATTGGTAATTTAATATCTTGAGATAACTCGATTGTTTTATTAAAAATTTTGATTTCTTAGATGACTATCTCTTATTACAATTAGAAATGAAACATATCTATTTTAAGAAAACGTAAAATATATACAACCTTCTTAGAAGCATAAAAATTAATTTAGACTCAAATCACATTATTATAGAATTATCACATTAATTTTTAATTCATAAATTTTGTAACGCTAATTCTACTTTACCACCTTACCGTATAATATTAGTCGAATTACTGCACTTATTTTTCCAGGAATAGTTCAGAAAATTTATAACTCCGTGTGAAAAATATTATACAATTTTACCAAACGAAATCTTCAGTTTCAGTCTATCTGTATATCTATTAGTTTAAATATTTCCACAAGTAACTCTCGTGTTAGCAAAGTTCTAAATGAAACAAATCCGATATTAATTATTACATTGAAACACGAAAACTATATTTACTAAAATCGTTTCTTCTACGTGACAGTCCTAAATGTTAATACTAATAAATTTATGGCACGGAACCAATGGTAATGCAAAGAAAGCAGAGAAGTATGTTTTCACGCGTTTCAAGCAAGAGTTTCACGTGTTCGATAAGAGTACATATTCCTCGTGTGTTTTGAAACTTAGATAAAATAAAATTTTAAGGATGAACAACGACAATGAGATATGACTAGGCATTCAAAAGATCATCATCGCTATCTGTTTGGCACTGCGTTGGGTCGACGTCTAGCAAAAGACGAGCTTCCTCTGTAGTGTCGACCTAAACAAAAAATAATTAATTTAATAATTAAATTATGTAGTTTTATTTCATTTTACTATATTTATAACATAATATAAGTTTCACTATATCTATGATTTGATCACAATATAACTTGACGCAATTTTAATAACATAATATCTTTGATTTTCTTAATGAATGCTCTGTAAAATAGATATGTGTTTATTCAATATTTAATCTAACACAAATTTGTTGTTTCAAGAATCTTTTTCGATAATAGTAATTGTCGTATGAACTTTATTAGGCTGCTATTAATGTCACATATACATGTTGCGTTTTAAGATTAATGTTTCTTTCATTCGAAGCTAAAACAAGAGACTAATATAGGGCATGTGCTTCGTTAAATGAAAAAACCAAATCTCACACTGATAATTACTGATTATAGTTAACATATTATACAAGGAATGAAATATAATCTGTGTTATTTTAATCCACTATGTTGTCCAATCGAGCGGTTATTAATGTACACGAAAGTACAAGAATTGATGTTATTCAAACAATTTTCTACGTATACGAACGTTATCTATCGATTATGTAAATTAGTAACATACCAAAGGCACGAATATTCGTAAAATGGAAAAGTTAAAAATACTGACAGACGTGTCAGGAATTCTAATAAAACGCAGAAACATGATAGCAGATAATAAATAAGTTGCAAAGAAAGGCCGGTATAACCGATATAATTTGTTTTAACAAAATGAAATTTATTTTTACGTAATTTTTAATATCACGAGAAGAACGAAATAGACAAACGACAAACGAGCAAAGGATATATCATAAAGTAATATAACATAAGTATAAAATAAAAGACAAAAACTATATAATTATTTGTACTCTTTTAAATTTTCACAAGCCAAATAAAGCTTTTGTTGAAAATGACAACGTGAGTTCGTGCTCGCCATCCATATGCAGATGCGTTAGTTATAAAAAATAGTAGCTAGAGATAAATTTAATCGATAGGCTTAAGATGCCTTTTTGTTTTTATCCCTAGTTTTTGTAAGCGCGTGCAATAAAGGTTTTTTTGCTCAGAACGGTGTGATAGATTTATCCCTTCAATAAAATAATACCTCTGAGTATAGCAATAACAACAGCTTTTTTATGTATAACATTATGCTTGCAATTATAAGTAAATTGCGTATGTTTATATGCTTATGGAAAATTAATAGATTGAAAAATGTACGAAATGCGTGTAATATGCAAAAATATATAAAACATCTAACGTTATAAGTTACAAAATATAATAAACGAACACGTATTTATCTCTTTAATTGGCATCTCTTCAATTCTGCTTAGAAAAACATAAATTTACGTAAATTACTAGTAATCTAATTACTTACTATCTTCTGATAATTCGTCATTGCTAATTAACTAATACAGATACGGATATGAATATAATATGCGTAATACATAACTAATAATATAATATGCGATTTCTATAACGTACCCTGCAGTATTGAACGCGACTACTGCCTCTTTTCAAGGAAAATGGATTAATGCAAGAGCGCAAACATGCTCGTTTATCTGGATCTCGAAAATAAAGCAACGCTGCTACCAGGGCGATAACACTCAGCACGATGCCTGCAATTGTACCAGCTGTAACAGATGAACAATACGATATTATAATAACAATTTTAAATAAATTTCTCGGATCGATGTTCGATAAAGCTATGGAATACGTGTTAAGCATTGAAAACCCGCATTACATCGGCAAATTCTGGTTTTCCCCACTTTCTCTTTGATATTCCACCTTTATCCCTCTTTCCCTTGACTTACTTCACGAATAACCGTAATTTCTTTCTGACCTAAATTTAATACAAATTCAATATATAAATATAATATTTTAAATATAATTTAGCAGCGTATTTTAATATTTTTAGGTATCTATATTTATCTACATTAGCATCGATATGCAATCTATATTTTGTGTAAATTGTACTCTAAGTAGTTGTATAGAAAGAATATTCAGACAGGAGTCGAAGAGCCTCCTGGGGAAAGAATCCATAAGGCAGATTGGGGAACTGATTGAATTTTATGTTTGGATATTTGGTTTGGATAATTTCTTCATATTAACTATGTACATTCAAATTGACGATAATTGAAGATTGGATAAGATAAATTTAATATATCCATTTCTGTAGATTTCTCTGATTTTAAGGCTGATTTTAGGCTTCCAATCTGAAATTTATGACCGATATACTGCACAGTGCAGTGGGCTGGCGAGTCGCTTTTCGCAGAACGTCATCGCTTTAATCTTTTTCGACAAAACAGAGCTGACTAATGTCCATGCTTATATTAGTCCATAATGTGATTGATAATAACTGTAATATAATAAAAATTAGTTGTTGGTATATAATTATTTATAAAGATTGATACAATATATTATACATATACATGATTATCTACTATACATATATATTATAATTATATTTAATAATCTAAGTTGTCCAAGCCACTAAATATAGATACTCGGGTCCTTTTCATTGTGCCATATATCGATCTTTATTTCGTAAATAATATTCATCCAGAAAAATAAAAATATTTAACCCTCTGCAGACGAAACCGCAACGAAGAAGTTACACATACCTTGCGACATTATTATGTAAAATTATTTCAAACAATTATAATACACTGTACTACAAACTAATTACGCGTTTACTATAAATAAACTAGGAATTCGGAATTATGTATAAGCACGTGTAATTCAAACTAAACGCGCTAATACACAAACGAAACACGTCTGTCTGATGAAAGCGAATAGCGAAGACTGATTAAAATCGCGTAAAACTAACCGAAGATGAAAAACTGAGCAATGAATGATATTTCGATGCTTGTTTATATATTTGTCTTCTTTTCAATATAATGGAAAAAGAACACGTATCAAAAAGCTGAGGATACTATTCATTTGCAGGTTGAACCAGTCCAGGCGTCAAAATTCTACGCATTTCAATTTGTTTAGGTGCGTGGAAATTTCAAAGTTGAAGAAGCTTGCACGTAAAATTTATATCTTCCTTTAGAACGATCTCAATTCTCGTATGAAAGAAATCTCATATCTAGCACTTGCTAACCATATTTTTAAAACCCTTCTGGGACTTTAATTTTGTTATAAACATCGGACACGATTAAATAATTGAAATACACGTACTGACATGTATAAGGTTTCAACCGAAAGTCGCCACTTCATGTTCTATAATGAGCAATTAGGATATCTAGTTTCTATTCGAATTTCAGAATTTTTACTTCAAAGCGTTACCCTTGATCACCGACTTATTAATATTAAGCTTGAAAAACTGCGAAGTACTGTGCAATTGTACGTATTGTTTAGTCATAGAAATAATCGTAATCTAATCAAAGCGCCATAAAATTAATTAGTAAATTTTCTAATATCATCACCATCAAGATAGCCAATTTCTTTAACCTTTATCGTAAAACCTTTATCGTAATGTAATTATGATATTACAGATATTGAGTTAAATTTGAGTAAATTGAAATTTATGATACTACAGATATTGAGTTAAAATTATAACTCTTGTGTTAAGATTCACTGCTTTATCTATATACGTCTGAAGAGACAAATTCATCAAAATTTTATCACCATTACTTAATTCATCACCATTATTCGACATTCGAAGGCGTAAAAATGCATAGAATGCGCGTACATAATATACAAAAATATATAAAAGATTCAAAATATAATACCCTGTCTACAATACATAGGCAAGTAAAATAACCTTCTATCTACGTTTCATTTTTTAATGACCTGCATGGAAATACGAATTTTCATAAATATCCGCTGTCTAATCATTATACTCTTGCTCATTCTCACATTACCAACAAAACATGTACATTGTACAAGTTCATTATATTAATATGTATATATACATGTAAAAATAAAACAATATCAATATCGATAACATTGAAAAAAAACGAATAAACGAGGAGAAAGATTCTCTACTGTGCTCTAAGAATCAATTGTTCATATATCTTTAAGATGATCTATTTTTAATTAAATATTTTGTACACCTACAGGAACAACTTTGTATCGCTATATTGGAGGAAAATTGAGATCTTTTGTAATTTTTATACTCACTATGACTAGGAGCCAATTCATGTACATCTTCCTGTGCGTTTGGAGGAACAGTAGGTTGCTGAGAGTTTGATTGGCAGGTACAAGTTACATTTGTATGCCATTCGAATTCTGCACTGCACGGTGATTCCTGTATTTAAAAAAAAAATATAAAAACGAGATCAATTATAATAAATAATGAAATAATAAAGAATAAAATAAAATACATTTTGAACTGTCGAGAGAAGAAAGGAAAGAATTATCGTTATCTTTTTCATAGGAAAATTATTTCTAAACTATCAATTACGACGGAAGTAGAAACTCTTTCTCAGTATTGTGCAACGATAAAAGTTAATACGAAAAACTTCTATAGCAAATACTGCTAATCTACAATTTTATAAGTATGTCAATAAATCTTTATCGACGTACTTATCCATCAATCTTTTCTAACTTGAACTTATTCAAGGAGAAATATATGAATTTAAATTATAGTACAGCTTTCTTAAATTATGCAAATCATTTGTAATTCACAAGGTAAGCTTGTTCAAGTTCGTGCTTTAAATATATCATTCTTGTAATATTTCCCTCGATAAAATCTACGCTATAGTACGGTTTATTACATTTATCTACAAGTGTTGTTGATAAACTTGTAATTTACATTTTTCATACTACGTAAGAACACAATATATCATATAGTTTGTGATAATGTATATCGTATACCTTCTCATAATCAAGTATTGATAACTAATGGTACTTATTCTCCTCTTGCTTACTATGGAGAAGCGATGCTCGACCAAAACAATACAAATTCAAGCTAAACTGTTCGTAGAAATAATTGTATATTTTATCTTCAAATTTTGCTGTTTATAAAATAATAACTTTTATTTTTTTTTTAACAAAATCGGTGTTAAAATTTTTACGATTTTGTATGTCAGAGTATTTCCAAGCGTTCGTTTTATGATTTTTATAAATGAAACGTTATGATAATCGGACGCAGTAACTGTTATTTTGAAAGTCATCGTTATTGGCAAAATTTAATATGCGAATATCAGAAGATACGCGTAAATCCGGAGTTGATCGTAAAACAGCAAAGTGATCGAAATTGTATAATGGGACGTTCGTAAATGTAGATAACGACAAGTTAATTACTCGTCAGATGCGTTAAACTCGCACTAAACGATCGCATTAAAAGCATTAAGGGCTTACAGAAATTCACCATTAAGACTCCGGAGCGATACATAACGTTGCAGACTAAGATCAGGTAATTATCTAATAATAATCACGCAACGATAATCAACTTTTATCTAATTACTCCTACACTTAGATTTCAATGATTAAAACTGGAAAAAATGTTGTCTTAAGTAATTAGTAAATAGGAGAAAGTTTGAACAGTCACAGAATTCGGAAATAAAGACGTCTGATTAATTTGGAATATATTAAGATTCCGAGAACAATAATAATTTCGTTAAGTTAGTAAATACAATGTTTTATTCATAATACTATTCTTCTATTCTGGTATTTCCATACAGCTTATACTAATACTTAATATATATAATACATATAGATCCACATCATACAGGCATACGGCCTCTGCTAAGTGTAAGCTGTATTAATATTTTTCTGTACATCAGTGTGGTTTTACGATTAGGATTTGCCGCCTAACTGTATATATAAGGAAACGTTTAAAATTTTTCCACCGAATAGGAACCAGCATACGAAGCGAAAGGATTAAGAAGAAACCCGCATACGAAGCGAAAGGATTAAGAAGAAACCAGCAGTGCTTCGGAAATTCCAAATATATGAAGGAAAAACACGTGTATTCCAAGGCCTATATAAAGGAAACTAATGTTCTTTGGAAACGAACTTTGAAAAGAAACCAACATTTGATTGATGACATTTTAATGGTTATTACAGCAATCTCTCGTTACGTGAATCACTGCTAAACGACAATTAACATGCAGTTGTTAACGTTCCAATGAACAGAAAGATTTTAAGAAACTTATATTTGAAACGAGATTTTTATATATAGTTTAACCAGTTAATTGCGTTCGACGTGTATACACGTCGATGCAAAATTTTATTTTGGTACGGTTGACATGTATACTCGTCGTGTAAAATAAAAAATTACCGTTTACTATAAAAAAAGACAAAATTTTAATAAAGAGTAATATAAATGATATTTAATGGTATGGTTTCCTTTATACTTCCAGTAAAACTGTTATCTATTTTATAAAAAAGAAAAAGTTTGGGAAAAGAAAGTTTGATTAGTTGATTATTCTCTTTGGTATATCGGTTATGCTCCGTATAATGTATTGCTTTTTATAAATTGAGTTGATTATTTTTCTCAATGCATCCGCTATTGCCCGAATTGTTTTTGTGTACCTTACTTCATTATTTTTGGCAATTTTTGAGCTTTTAATACTTTTTCAACAATGAATTTTTAATTTTTTAACGAACAAAAATGGAAATTTATAATTTACCCTGCTGTCGAAGTTTATACTCGTCATTGCTTGATTTTACCTGCACACCCAGTAAGGGATTTTTGAAATTAAACTTCGTAATTAATAGATTAATTAGAATGGAGGTGTCACAAATTATGTTCAGAAAATAAATGAATGATCTTTACTGATTGATGATCGTAAAAAATGGAAAGATAGTTCTCATTCGGACGACACTCGTTACATACAATTCTACCAAATGTCCAAATTGGACAAATTGTGAATGTAAACAACTAAAAAAAAAAAAAAAAACTCGTTACATACTGCACAATTACAAATCTCTCTCTCTCTCTCTCTTCCTTACTCTCCCTCTGTTTCTCTTTCTCTTTTGCTCACTCACTCATCCGTTACCATCCTTCTGATTCGCCCCAAACTCGCGCCCGTCTATGAAATCGCTAACAAACAGAGCTTTGACATAAAATTGAAACGATTTTAACAGATTTAATAGTCCGAATGTAAAAAATTTCTACTCAAAGAAAAATATTCAAGGATAAAATAAAAGGATATAAGGAAGAATTAACTAAAGATAAAGTGCTTAAAAATATTATAGAATCAGTAAGGTAGAGAGTAGAAAGAAAATCTTGCCAAATGGTATTCCTCTCCTTAGTAAATCAGAAAAAAAGTCATTCGAAGTGCTTGTACATATGTATTATGTACCTTAAGGCACGTGGCAAGAGCCGGTGAAAGGGACGGAAACGGAAATAGTAATACAGCACCGTGGTGCACATCTGCTTACCCTTACAAAATCATCTGAGCAAGATTTTTCAAGGGTCGTGCTACTCTAAATGGGGAACACTTTTCACGGCAAAGAGAGCTACCGTGAAAAAAACTCGACCGCACGGAAGTATTATTATTCTGGGCCATGTGGCGACCAGAACTTTTTAACATCAGAAATGTCGCGCCACATCTGAGTATTTGAACGATATTGTATCTACCTTCGAATTTGCTGCACGCGATAGAGAAATAGAGTGAAAAGCTTTCCTCGATTACATATCACGATTCTGTTGTGTTTCATCTGAATTTCGCGGACATTCTAACGTTCTATATAGGGTAAGTCACGCGATTGCGGCTGTACAAAATGGAGAAAAGGTACTGGATGAAATAATTTAATGGCAGAGAGGCTTCGTTTCCTTCCGACCTCGTTCTTTTCTTAGGTGTTTTAATACAAAATTCAATGGATGCTTTTATTTTTCATCGTCACACTGCATTGCGTGCTTTTTCTTTTTCCCTTTTTCTTTCATTTAAATAATAGATCAGGTATTTGTCCTCGTAGAAGAATTACTTGTACAAGTGTAAGCATTTGGTGCTTGTTTATGCAAAACTTTATTGTAAATCGCAATATGTTAAAGATGAATGGATTTTATGATGCAATTAGGGGAAAGTACGATTGTTATCTAGTTGCGTGCAGTACACAAAGCACTATTAAATGGACCTATTGTAATATTTAATTTACTGTATATAATGCTCGTTGCGTGCATTTAACATTTGCATACATAAATTTTCATGCATTTGTTTTTTATTCGTTATTGTTATTCGTTTAAGAAATTTATATCTGTTTAAACAATGAATTGAATACACTTTAATAGCGGTATTTTAAAATATGTTTGAAATATAACAATTAAGTATTTATAATATCAATTGTTAAGGAAGAAATAATTAAGGCAAGCGGTAATTACAAAAAAAGGGATAGAAATGCATGTTAATTTGTTAAGCAATAACATAAACGATCAGTATATGCCGCGTAGCCTTAAAAGAACACACCCTGCAGACCTAATAATCAAAGTAAACATTTGCGAACAACCCAGATCGACTGATCTTGACGAATGATAATGACGTTGTCTCAATGCAGACAACGTTCTCGCATTACTTTGGTACATTTAAAACAATTTGCCTAATGTCTACTGACAAATTGCAAAGTATATAGGAGATGTAAAAGAATAATATTATAATAGAGTAAAATAAATAATAATAAAATACCGATTAAATGGAACAGTTACTTCTATCCATTTCGCGTGGTTAATACATATTTAAAATTATTAATGTATCATATGAGAGCAGCGTTTCGCCAATCTTTCAACAGATACAATCACGCACTTATACCTGCCCATAAAATGATTGTCTATTCATTCGTTATTATCTCTATCTATAATAAATCCACCATTCATTTAGTGGAACGCGAACAAGAAGTTATTAAGTGCGGATAAGTATTATAAAAATATATATATATATATATAAGTACTGAATTTGTATACATTTGTGTATCAGATACAAGTACTAACTCATTTAGTTCCGTAAAATTTTGATATATATACATATAATACAAGATTATATAAAATCTTATAATACAAGATTAGACAAAATTTTATTCTGATAATAGATAACCGATAAAACTAATAAGGAATACATATTCGCCACTAATGAATAAATATCTAATGGAATAAGAATTTATTGTAATATGTAAAAAAAGAATGTATCTTAATAAAAATTTATTTATGTCATATTAAGTCGAATATGACGAAGTAAGAAATCGTAAACGGTATGTAAACACAAAGTATGTTTTGAAATTTTATGGTTCATCGTTGCCATATAATATTTATTTTTTCTTTGGTAAATTTACCGTTCGATAAATTGATAGTAGAAATTGGATTGATCG